GCCATTGCTCTGAGGGCTTTGATCCACCAGCACGAAGCTGCCATGCAGTTCGCCCAGCAGCTCCGGTGCTGCCCAGCGCAGTGGTACCCATAGGCGCTCGGGTGTCAGGTAGTAGTCTTCCTGGGGGCGGGCGGGGTCAGCAGGTCAGCAGGCGACACATACAGGTCCACAAGCACAGACACACGCATACGCACTGCCCACCTTGTAATTGCTATGGGCCAGCCCATAATCTCCGATGCGAACAGTCAGGTCTGAAGTTAGCAGGCAGTTGCGCAGCGCCAGATCGCTGCGGGATGGGGAAGGCGGAATGAAGAGAAAGCCCTAAATGCCTCTCCTTCCCTTTCATCACCCTGATCTTCTTGTGAAGGTTCCTTCTCTCCTGACTCCTCCCTCCTCCTCCGCCACCACCATGCCACCTGCCCTGTTCCTCTTCTGGGTCCTTTCTCTGTCCTGACTCCTATCTTCCACTGGTGGCTCCTCCCCTAAATCCCCCCCCTCTACTAACTCTTCCCTCTCCCTTCACTCCCCACCTTCTCTATCTCCCCTCTCTCTGCTGTACAGCCTTCCTTTCTGCCTCCTCCCTCCCTGACTCTATCCTCCTCACCCAGTGTGTTCCCTTCTCTCCTAACTCCATCTCCTTTTCTGACTCCTCTCTCTGTCTCTGTCTCTGTCTCTGTCTCTCTCCAGGGTCTCACTGTGTAGACTTGGCTGTTCTAGAACTTGCTATGTACACCAGGCTGGCCTCAATCCTGCTGGGATCCTCCTGCCTCAGCCTTCTGAGTGCTGGGACTACAGGCCAGATCCAAAAATACCCAGTTTGCGGGCTAATTTCCCTCTCCTTTGCGGCTCCCTGCCACCTTCAGAACTTCAGTGTGCCTGGCCCTTTAGAGTCATCCCTCTTCCTGGGTTCTTCCCAGTGTCCTCTGCTGTGGACACCTAGCTTACCTGTGCACGTAGTTATGGGAGTGCAGGTGTGCCAGTCCCCGGGCAATCTCCAGGCCCATCCTCTGCAGTGTCCGAAGGTCTCTAGGGGGCAGTTCCGGGGACATGCCCTCAGGTGGCCTCTGGGCCCGGAGGTATCTCTTCAGGTCTCCCTAGGAAGGAAACAAGGGTAGTTCAGCACAAAGTAGCCTCTGCCCCACGCTGGGCAGCTCCTCTAAGCTTCAGCTTCATTGGTCAGATGTTTGCTACACATTCATGATACCCTGGATTCAATCCCTGGCCCCCAAAAATATGAAAAGGAAAAAGAATGCCAGTGCAGCTATGCAGGTGACCATAGTAATGAGACACAACAACCCCCACCCCAAGTCCTTCCAGCTCCCAGCAGCCCTCCCATTCCCTAGGCCCTCACCAGCTGGCGATCAACAGGTAGGGCAAGGTCTCAACACAGACGCCCAGGCACTGGAGGACATTGGGGTGCTGCAGGCTCCTTTAAGGGACAGAAAAGGAGCAGCCTGTGTCCATTCCACAGAGCCTCACCTCATCAAAACTTTTCCCAGGCCACAGACCTGACCTGGGTGTTACATCTCCCCTTCGGGTTGTCCCAAATCTGCCACTGACATGTTCACAACTCTCTATGCCCCCTGCCCCAGGAGTCCCATAAGACCCTCACTCTCTGGTGTCCCAGCTACTCACTGGCCAATCTCCACTTTGCCACCACTCTGGCCCTTTGCACTTACAGCCATTTCTATAGGGGACACTCTCTCCTCCATTTTTCTTAAAGTTTTTCTTTTTCACTCTGGGTCTCCCCATATAGCCCTGGCTGTCCTGAAACTTACAATGTAGACCAGGCTGGCTCCAAACTCACAGAAATTTGCCTGTCTCTGCCTTCTAAGGGCTGGGATTAAAAGTGTGCACCTCCATGCCTTGCCTTCACACTTGTTTCTTTTTCTTGCTTTTTCGAGACAAGGTTTCTCTGTGTAGTTCTGGAGCCCATCCTGGAACTTGCTCTGTAGACCAGGCTGGCCTCCAACTCACAGAGATCCATCTACTTCTGCCTCCCGAGTGCTGGGATTAAAGGCGTGCACCACCAATGCCTGGCTGTTTCTTTTTTTTAATAATTAAACCTGGAACTTGCTCTGTAGACCAGGCTGGCCTCCAACTCACAGAGATCCATCTACTTCTGCCTCCCGAGTGCTGGGATTAAAGGCGTGCACCACCAATGCCTGGCTGTTTCTTTTTTTTAATAATTAAATTTATGTGCATTGGTGTTTTGCCTGCACGTACGTCTGTGTGAGGGTGTCAGGTCTTAGAGTTACAGACAGTTGTGAGCTGCCATGTGGGTGCTCGGAATTGAACCTGGGTCCTCTGGCAGGACAACCAGTACACTTAACCACTAAGCCATATCTCCAGCTCCTCATGTTTTTAGAATTATGTGTACATGTGTGTGGGTATGGGCATGTGACTGTAGTGCCCATGAAGGCCAGGAGAGGGCATCACATCTTCTGGGACTGGAGTTATAGGCTATTTGACTTAGGTGCTGGGAACTAAACTCAGCTCCTCTAAAGATGGAGCAGCCACATTCTTAACTACTGAGCCGTCTCTGCAGCCATTCTTGTCTCTGCGACCGCTTAGGCCCCAGCTTCAACACAGTCTCCCAAGTGGCTTCACTGCCTCATCATGCACTGGGTCTGAATCCTTCAAGACTCCCAGGGAAGTCCCTGTGCCTCCTTTGCTTACTTCCTCTGATGGATGGAGGCAGTAACTTCCATATACATCATGTGGAAAGCATGCTGTGTGGGAGCTGGTCGTGGTGAGGGGTGGGTCCTGCTATTCTGTGTATTTAAGATAGGGTTTCATTTTGCAGCCCAGTCTGCCTGGGAGCACACAATCCTCCTGCCTCAGCCTTCAGAGCGCTGTGATATCTGGTAGGTGTACACCATCAGACCTACCATTATTGTTGCTTTTATTCTAACACTTAGATATATGTCTGACTTGATTTCCACCCTCCGTCATGGCTATGTTTGCAGGGCTGCTGGCTGTTGCCCAATGCCAGCACTCTCCATTCTCTCTTGCCTTAACAAGCTTCCCACAGTGCTCTACAAGACTGCTGGCTCCTCAAGAACAAGGCCTCCCCAGTCTTTGAAAGGAGCCCTGGCTGGGCGTTGGTGGTGCACACCTTTAATCCCAGCACTTGAGAGGCAGAGGCAGGTGGATCTCTGTGAGTTCGAGGCCAGCATGGTTCTACAGAGCAAGTTCCAGGACAGCTAGGGCTGTTACACAAAGAAACCCTGTCTCTAAAAACCGAAGGAAGGAAGGAAGGAAGGAAGGAAGGAAGGAAGGAAGGAAGATTCTCTGTCATTGTTACAAACCCTTCTCACCCTTATACCACCAGTGGGGCCAGTGTAGGTGAGTTCTTTCTCTGACAAGGCCAAGCAGATGCCAAGGGCCATTTGGGCACTGTGGGTCGGGCCAGTATGTGTTACAACCTCAGACTGCTAAAATCCCACTTGGTTAAAAGCATGTGCATGGCAGGCGGTAAGGACCAAGTACAATGAGGAGAGAAAAGGCCTGGGCTTCACCACAACTCCGAGGGGCAGAACAAAGACCAGGGTGATCCAGAGGGAATAGCCACTCAAAGAGGTGAAGCAAGGGTCATCCAGCTGGGATCTGAGTTCAGGTCTATGTCTGGATTAGCAAACATCTACCGAGGGCTGATGGGACTTGAAATACGTGTGCTCAGAGACAGAGAGGACCCTGAGCAGCCAGTCAGCCTGTGCTGTCCGACAGAGACGTCTGACATGGGTCAGCTTTGCTGCAACCAAATTTTGGCAATTCCACTCAGGAAATGAGTATTTAAATTCATTTATCTGTAGCCCATGCTGACTTCACATTCCTAGAGTTTCCTGCTTCAGCTTCCCAAGTGTTCTGATTGCAGGGCTGAACCCCTACATGGAGCTTAATGAATTTTGAATTGATTCCATTTAAACTTATTTCAATTAAAGAGAAAGACAGACAACAGGCACACAGTAAAGCAAAACAACAACAACACACACTTTTTGAGACAGAATCTCCTGTAGCCCAGCCTGGCCTCAAGCTCACAGTCCTCCTGCCTCAGCATTCGGAGTACAATTGCAGGTAAAGCTCACCGTGCCCGTACAAGGCCCTTCTTACCTGGGGCCGGGGAGCCGAGACTAAAGAAGGGAACATGGCCCCCAGTTCAGCACTAGAGATGAGCAGATAAGAAGTGGTATTCTACAGAGAGGGAGAAGCAATGACAAAGGCCTTGAGGCAGGAGAGCAGCTGCAGAGTATGTGGGTGTGTGTGGGGGGAACTGAGGCCAGAAGGACAGAGGCAAGATTATAGGAGCAGACTATGTAGGGCCTGTGGGCTAGAGGGAGCTGTAGCCTGCCCCAGGAGCTCTGAGGAAGAGCCATGGGAGGTCTAGGAACAATGATGGGCCAGACTCTAATGAGCCCATACACTCCTGAGGTTCAGAGTGGACAGGCTCCCTTTCAACCTGGGAACCCCCTTCCGCATGCTGTCTCCAGCTCTGTCTAGGGAAGACCCAAGATTCCAGGAGGGAACTCCCAGCACTAAAACCATATATAGTCAGGAAGAAATCTGAAAATGGAAGCCAGGTTTGGCACCACACTGGGTTCTGTCCACTTCCAAACATCACCTCCTCTACCTGATATTTTGTTTTTAGAATCCCTGTCCATGGACTTACCTATAGGGCTGAGCCTCTGAGATGAACTTGCGCTGCTCCAAGGGCCCGGCACTAGCCCGGAGCTCCTTCACCACCACCTG